ACCTCGCTCGGCTAGTTTTTTTGTATTTTGTAGTAGAGACGGGGTTTCACCGTGTTAGCCAGGATGGTCTCGATCTCCTGACCTCATGATCCGCCCGTCTCGGCCTCCCAAAGTACTGGGATTACAGGCTTGAGCCACCACGCCCGGCCTTTTAAAAAAAAAACAAAAACAAAACAAATGCAGAGAAGTATAGCTAAAAAGTCAAAAGAGAATTTGATTTTTTAAATACTGAATTTGGCCAGGTGCAGTGGCTCATGCCTATAATTCCAGCACTTTGGGAGGCCGAGGCAAGCCAATCACTTGAGCCCAGGAGTTTGAGACCAGCCTGGCAACATGGTGAAACCCTGTCTCTACAAAAAATACAAAAATTGGTCAGGTGTGGTGATGTACTTCTGTAGTTCCAGTTCCTTGGAAGGCTGAGGTGGGAGAATTACCTGAGTCTCAACTGCAGGGAGAAGTGATTATACCACAGCACTCTAGCCTGGACAGAGTGAGACCTTGTCTCAAAAAAAAAAAAAAAATTATCTGATTTTAAAAAAAGATGGCAGGAAAGAAGGGACAAGGAACAACAACAAAAAACCCAAATGGGATAAATAGAAAATAGCAAGGTGGTAGACTTAAGTCTAGCTATCCTATTGTTATATTAAATGCCAGTGAACTATAAACACTTCTGCCAAGCACACTGGCTCACACCTGTAATCCCAGTACTTTGGGGAGGCCAAGGCAGGAGGATCACTTAAGCCCAGGAGTTTGGGACTAGCCTCGGCTACATAGTGTGTTGCGGTGATAAGACCCAACACCAGGTCGTGGGGACGATGAAGTCTGGCTAATCAAAGGATTGAGAAAAAAGACAGTTTGAGAAAGAAAGTGGGACCAGGGGCCGATCGCAATTGTGGAGGCTGTGAAGGCCCCAAGCTCTGGGAGCCCTTGCTGTTTATTGGTAATCCAACAAAGAAACAGGTGGTGAGAATGTGGGGGTCAAAAAGGCAGGCACATGATCTACAGCTGTGACAGCTTAGCATTTATATAGAACATGTTCTGTTACTTGAGATAACAAGAATACAATCTAGGAGCCTAGGAGGGTTAGAAGAAAGCCAGCAAGTCTAGACACATTCTAGGGGACATTATGTCAGACATGCAAGCCCTGCCTCAGCTTTTTTCCTAACACTTAGCTTTTTCCCAACATAGTGAGACCCTGTCTCTACAAAAATTTAAAAAAAAAAAAAAAAAAAAAAAGGTCAAGCATGGTAGTGGGCATCTGTAGTCCCAGCTACTCAGGAGGCTGAGATGAGAGGATCTCTTGAGCACAGGAGTTCTAGGCTACAGTGAGCTATGATCATGCCACTACACTCCAGTTTGGGTAATAGAGCTAGACTTTGTCTCTTTAGGAAAAAAAAAAAAAAAAGAAAACCACTTCAATTAAAAAGTAAGGATTGACCAGGCATGGTGGCTCACGCCTGTAATCCCAGCACTTTGGGAGGCCAAGGCAGGCAGATCACTTGAGGTCAGGAGTTTGAGACCAGTCTGGCCAACATGGTAAAACCCCGTCTACACTAAAAATACAAAACTAGCCGGGTGTGGTGGCGTACGCCTGTAATCCCAGCTACTCAGGAGGCTGAAGCAGGAGAATCACTTGAACCTGGGAGGCAGAAGTTGCAGCAAGCCAAGATCACACCCATTGCACTCTGCACTCTAGCCTGGGCAACAGTGAGACTCTGTCTCAAAGAAAAAAAAAGTAAAGATTATGAGACTGGATTTTAAAAAAAGTAAGACTCATCTATATGCTGTCTTCAAGAGTTATACTTAAAATATAAAATCATAGACAGGTTGAAAGCGAAAAGATGAAAAAGATATACAGTGCAAATAGTAACTGGAAGAAAGCTAAAGTGGCTATTTTAACATTAGAGAAAAATAGGTATCAAGACAGTATTGTCAGAGAGAAGTACTTCATAATGATAAAAATGGCCCGTTCATCAGAAAGATATACCAATCCTAATATTATGTATGTATATACTATATACCTAACAATAGAGCTTCAAAATACATGAAAACAATAGTTGAGATAACTAAAGAAAGAAATAGACAAATCCACAACGTAGTTGTAGGTTTTAACACCTCACTTCGAATAATTAATAGGTAGAAGAAGCCAAAACATGTATGTACACATATAGAGGATCTCAACAACACTATCAATTATCTTGATCTAAATAATATTTTTAGAATATTACACTCAACAACTGCAGAATATATATGCAAATGACTTGTTTATCAACATATACCATATACTGGCCCATTAAAAAATGTCAATAAATTTTGAAAGATTGAAATCATATAGAGAATTTCTCTGACCACAACAGAATTTAATTAAACATATTCCTTCTTTAGAAAATATTTTAGTAAACAAAGAGTAGTAGATTATTCCTCAAAAACGAGCAAAAAGAATAAAAAAGTCACTCTATTAGGGATTTTGCTGTAGGAACAAAGAATCTGGCAGGTAAAAAGTGACTGGACTTTGTGATTGTCATATACAGAGTTAGAAGCACAAGAGTTTGACAGATGCACTGGGTATTCAAAGTAATGGAAAATTTGAATAGTAGAGAAGTTTGGAAAAATGTCTAGACATGATACTTTAGCTACAGTATATAGGAAGTTGTTTGAGACGTGATACTTAAGCCACAGTTGTTTACCCCGGAGAAATGAGAGTGTTAAAAAAGATATTAAAATCATTGATTTGTTAAGAAATTATAAGAATCTGAACTGTCCTGAAAGTAATCTTCGTAAAATGAACAATAATTCCAGGTTATCTGGGATTTTCTGTAGGTTATCTAAAGGCGTAAATGGAAAATAAATAAAAATTTTATTTATCAAATAAATTTTTCAAAAAATAGAAATGAATAGGAAAAAAGTGCATACATACACAAACTTTTTTTTTGTTTTTTGTTTTTTGTTTGTTTTTTGTTTTTGAGAGTCTTGCTCTGTCTTCCAGGCTGGGGTGCAGTGGTATGGTATGACCTTGGCTCACTGCAGTCTCTACCTCGTGGGCTCAAGCATTCCTCCCACCTCAGCCTCCAGGGACTACAGGCACATGCCACCACATCTGGCTAATGTTTTTGTATGTTTTTGTAGAGATGGGGTTTTACTATGTTGCACAGGCTAGTCTTGAACTCCTGAGCTCCAGTGATCCACCTACTTGGGCCTCCCGAAGTGCTGGGATTACAGGCATGAGCCTCTGCGCCCAGCTTCCTTTAATTCTTTGAATATATTTATAACAGCTGCTTTTTAAGTCTTTGCTAAATATATTATCTCTATCAATTTATTACTGTACTTTTCTTGATTAAGAGCCATACTTTCCTACTTCTTTACATGTCTAGTAATTTTTGGTGGAAAACTTGATATTTCAGATAATATATTATAGCAACTATGTATTCTGATTTTTTGGAGAGTTGGATTTGCTTTAATAACTTGGCTATGCAAATACTGATGTCTTGCTTCATGTTTTTATTCTTATATTTATTATTAAACTTGGTTTCCAAAGAGTTGTGCCTGTGTCTGCATATAATTTAGTGGTCAGGGCTGGGTGCGGTGGCTCACGCCTGTAATCCCAACACTTTGGGAGTCTGAGGCGAGTGGATCACCTGATGTCAGGAGTTTGTGACCAGCCTGGCCAGCATAGTGAAACCCTGTCTCTACTAGAAATACCAAAAAAAAAAAAAATTAGCCGAGTGTGGTGGTGGGCACTTGTAATCCCAGCTACTCAGGAGGCTGAGGCAGGAGAATCGCTTGAACCCAGGAGGCGGAGGTTGCAGTGAGCTGAGATCATGCCACTGCATTCCATCCTGGGCAACAGAACGAGACTCCCATCTCAAAATAATAATAATAACTTAATGGTCACCTAATGATTTGAACAGAGGTTATGCTCAAACATCTTGATTGGGAAAAGCCTCACATTGATTTATATGTGAGTTGGAGAACGTATATACAAAGTTGCTGCTAGTTTTCAAGTCATCTTTAGCTTTGACTTTTTGCCAGACTATTAGATCTTCCCCATCTATTTGCGTAGTAACCCAGTTAGCCAGGGATGGTAGAGAGAGCTTATTTCCACCCTTTTATAGCTCTCTAGTTTCCAGGACCTCCCTGTTAAATTTCTGACTGTCTTTCATGACCAACCAAAATTCTGGCTGGTTTTTGTGACCAACCCTGAACTAATAAAACCATTCTCATCAACCACGTTGATGGTAGTAGTGGGTATGTGAATAACCTCATACAAAAAGGCCACTGAGTCCCCCTGCCCTAACTTGAAGCTCTAGCACTTTTTCAACAATAAACGTTTCTTGTTTTCTACATTTGATCCATTTCCAGTACCCTGGAATGGTTTTTGACAATCTCATTCGTACTTGTTTTATGTGGAGAGGAATTACCAGCCTCTTCATGCCACCATAACTAGTAGTCCTTTTCTATGTTTATATTTGTTTATTCAGCTTCATTATTCACATCTTCTGTATCCATGTTTACTTTTCCCTTAAAGGATCTGTCAGAAACTGAGAGGGATTTTCGTCCTCTACAGTTGTATTTTTATCAATTGATCCTTTTATTTTAAACAGTTTTGCATTGTGTATTTCTGTGTTCTATTAAAATGTTGTGTATTATACTATTTGGTTAGTCTAAAATATATTAGTTTGCCCAGTTCAAAGCCATCGATGCTGCTGTTCTTAAATTTTTTACTCATGTTGGATGTTTGTTTGGATTTCTCTGATGTTATTTTAGGCTGGACTTAAATAGTAGTGACAGAGTTCATCTGTGTCATCAGTTCCAAGACTACTAGTTTTAGTGATTCACTAGAAAGACTCAGAGTACTCAGTACATGTACTCATGGGTAACATTTGTTACAGTGAAGGATATAAAACAAAATTGGCAAAAGAGTAAGGTGCCTGGGGCAAAGTCCAGAGGAAACCATGGGTAAGTTTTCAAAAGTCCTCTCCCAATAGAGTCATGCAAGACTTTTTAAATTCCCCCAGAGACAAGTTGTCACAACGCTTATAAGTGTTGTCTACCAGGGAAGCTCATTAGACTCAGTGACCAGAGTTTCTACTGGGGGCTGAGTATGTAGGCAACGTTTGCCTAGTACATACTAAAATTCCAGTCTTCTAGAGGGAAAGCAGGTATCCAGCATTAACCACATCGTCTGCACAATCTAGACACAGTAAACCACCATTATTAATTAGGGAACAGTGGGAACACTTCTGAAATCAAAGTTCCCAGATACCAGACAAAGGCCAACCTTGCAAGGAGGTTTTCCTAAGTATAGCAGTCTCAGGCCTGCTGTATTAAATTCTTTAATTCTTTTCTACACAAAATCTTTGTCTTTTTTTTTTAAATTGAACTACTCCTGGTGCTTCACTCATGAGTTTAATGACCAAAGTTCTTTTATTGTTTTTTTTTGCAGTTAAATTATTTAAAATATTTTTCTCTTAATTTGGGAGTAATATAATTTTATTCATATGTGAAATTAGGGATCATCATATATAGTTTTGGTTTTTGTTTCAAAAAATCTTTGCTGTTTCTCTAAGCCAAAAATAAAGTGCATGCTTGTTTTGAAACTCTAATAGACAAAATACTGTACTATGATTTAAATTTCATGCTTGGAACAGTTTTATATTTGACTCTTCTTTGTATCTCCCACACATCATAATGCCTTTGTTCTTTTCTCAGCACGATTACGTGGTGTTCATGATGGTTTGTTCACTGGACAAATAGATGCTGTGGATACTCTTAATGCTACTTATAGAGTAACTTTTGATAGGACAGGGCTTGGAACCCATACCATCCCTGACTATGAAGTTCTCGTAAGTAGTATTTCATAATACATTTGTGTTTTATGCCTGTTAAATGTGTTATATAGAGTTTTCTTAGAAATCGTGTTTTATGATAGAATCAAGACTTTAGCTCACAGAGGAAGAGATCCTTAGGGGCCCCCAGCCCTATCTGCTAGACCCCTGGTTCGGAACTATACTTAAGTCTTCCATTTTCCAGGAACTAGAATTTCTCTGTTGGACCTTAACGACACGGCACTTTAGTATAACCAAACTGATGAGTCCTGACTAAATAACCTTGGAGAAGAAGCTACATAACATTTTCATTGCAGCTGTTAGGTTAAAGTATAGTCCTTTTGCAAAATTATTTTTAAAGTATGAAGTAACATCTTGTACTTATTTGTTCTCCTGTTTTATTTTCAGAGGTATGCAGGATGGGTGTTTATTACCTTCGCTTTTGCATGATGAAACTCAGACATAAGTACAGTTGCGTAGTTTATTCAGGGCTCTAGATCTGGTTTCCTATTAGGCTGAGACTAGAATCGAGATCTTTTTTTTTTTTTTTGAGATGGAGTCTTGCTCTGTCGCCCAGGCTGGAGCGCAGTGTCGTGAACTCGGCTCGCTGCAACCTCTGCCTAGAATGTATTTTTATATATGTATGTATGTCTTTGTAAATATATTTCCTAAAAGAAATATATATATATATATATATATCCTTAGTGCAGAAATACAATATTGCTTGATATCTCTCTACAATAGGAGAGAAAGAAAGTTGGAACTAAATGTAGAACAGAGTACACTACTCTTAAGTTTTTACATTAAAGGATTAAATCTTTAAACTCTCCTTTCAAAAAAAGTAAATTGGCTGGGCACGGTGGCTCATGCCTATAATCCCAGCACTTTGGCAGGCCAAGGTGGGTGGATCACCTGAGGTCAGGAGTTCAAGACCAGCCTGGCTAACATGGTGAAACCCCATTTCTACTAAAAATACAAAAAGTTAGCCAGGCGTGGTGGTGCGCGCCTGTAATCCCAGCTACTTGGGAGGCTGAGGCAGAAGAATTGCTGGAACCCAGGAGGTGGAGGTTGCAGTGAGCCCAGATCGCGCCATTGCACTCCAGTTTGGTCAACAAGAGTGAAACTTGGTCTCAGAAAAAAAGTAAATTGCTTCTCTGTTTAATTAATTTAACTGTTTTTATGAGGTCACCCAAATATTTCTCCCTGGCTAAATAAGAATTGATTTTTAATTATTGTAGGATATATTCAGAAAGTCTAAATGCAGATAACCAAAGGTGGCCATAGAAAACTTTAATAATAATCTTTGATTCTCTGAACTATTTTGACCCCCCCCTTTTTTTTTATTTCTTTTTGTCTTCTGGAGGTTCATCCTTTTGGCAGCAAAGTAGTGTTTTCATACTCTGTTTTAAGTTCTAGCCTTTGATCTGTATAGACTAATATGCTACTCTATAAATAATTAAATATATAAGTAATAAATTCTATATGAATCATAGAATATGCGCGAATATATATCTCAAGCTGAAATACAATAATTATAAAGCTTAAATGATGGTAAATTTCTTTAAGTTTTGTGGATTAATCTATTTTCTCAGAGTAATGAGCCTCATGAGACAATGCCAATTGCTGCCTTTGGACAAAAACAGCGGCCTTCTCGATTTTTTATGACCCCACCACGGTTACATTATACTCCTCCTCTCCAGTCACCAATTATGGTAAGTATATTTTAGAAATATATATTTTTTTTTTTTTTTTTTTTTTTGAGACGGAGTGTAGCTCTGTCGCCCAGGCTGGAGTGCGGTGGCCAGATCTCAGCTCACTGCAAACTCCGCCTCCCGGGTTTACGCCATTCTCCTGCCTCAGCCTCCCAAGTAGCTGGGACTACAGGCGCCTGCCACCTCGCCCGGCTAGTTTTTTTTGTATTTTTAGTAGAGACGGGGTTTCACCGTGTTAACCAGGATGGTCTCGATCTCCTGACCTTGTGATCCGCCCGTCTCGGCCTCCCAAAGTGCTGGGATTACAGGCTTGAGCCACCGCGCCCGGCATATTTTAGAAATATTATCAATAATTTAATTGATTATTACGAAGGTGAACTATATTCTTAAGAAATACACATCTATTACAACTTCAAAAGATACGCACACTGTTTTGAATTGAAAATATTAAATAACATAAATAGTTGCTTCACCTCCAGAAATATTTTCCTTTTTATTGGATTTTAATATAATATTAATTATAACAGAATTTTCTGTTTTTCTAAAAGTAAGATACTTCCTGGCTGGGCGCAGTGGCTCACGCCTGTAATCCCAGCACTTTGGGAGGCCGAGGCAGGCAGATCATGAGGTCAGGAGTCTGAGACCAGCTGACCAACATGGTGAAATGCTATCTCTGCTAAAAATACAAAAATTAGCTGGGTATGGTGGTGCGCACCTGTAATCCCAGCTGCTAGGGAGGCTGAGGCAGGAGAATCACTTGAACCTAGGAGTCAGAGGTTGCAGTGAGCTGAGATCACATTTGGCAACAGAGCGAGACTCTGTTTAAAAAAATAAAATAAAAAAATAAGTTTCTTCCTCTGAATAGTCAATGATTAAATAATTCCCTTTTATTCCCACAGGATAATGATCCTTTATTGGGACAGTCGCCGTGGAGAAGTAAAATTTCTGGCTCTGACACTGAAACATTAGGTGGTTTTCCAGTAGAATTTCTTATCCAAGTGGTAAGAATTGTTCTGAGTATCTTGGCTCTTTGTTTAAAAACTCAATGTATTTTATGTTATTAAGGTTGAAAATTTTTCTAGGGCCGTGTAGGTTTATCACCGTGTAGGTTTTAAGAGGTACTATTTCCAACAAAGCCTAAAAATAAAAGTTATAAAAAAAAGAAAAGACAGATCTTTTTCTTGAGCTTTGTCTTGTGTCTGAGTTCTTATTATTCTGCTATTTTAAGGGCTCAAACATTCTTGCATATGTTCTGTGAAATTCTGAATGTTTGGCTGTTAATAACTTGGGTAACTATGAAGGCTTTTATTTAGTAACCTCAGCATATTCTGCTATCATTAGTCAGTTCAACAGTTATGATGTCCTGGCTAGCTTATATGGTTAGAAGAAATTTTATTTCTTTTCAGAGACTAGAAACAGGTATTCACTTGCTAAGTACTTAGTGATTAGACACTGAGAAATCTAAGCCTAAACTGAAATAAGTGTAAGTATTATATTGGAAAATTTTCCTTATAGCTGAACTCTTAAAAATGTAATGAGTTTGAAAATTAGATTAAATAAATTTTTTAGTTTGAATCATAGTCTAATAATGTATTGTTTCATTTCCTTTTTGGAAAATGAAAACTATTTTGGCTTGGGATAGATAGGATCTTTATTTTCATTTATTTATTTAGAGACTGAGTCTCGCTCTGTTGCCCAGGCTGGAGTGCAGTGGGTCGATCTCGGCTCACTGCAACCTCCACCTTCCAGATTCAAGCTTTTCTCCTGCTTCAACCTCCTGAGTAGCTGGGATTACAGGCATGCACCACTACGCCCAGCTAATTTTTTTTGTAATTTTAATAGAGATGGGGTTTCACTGGGCTGACCAGGCTGGTCTCCAACTCCTAACTTCACCTTGGCCTCCCAAAGTGCTGGGATTACAGGCGTGAGCCACCACACCCGGCCGATACAATCTTTATAAATAAAAATGTTTATAACATAATCCGTGAAAATACTCACAGTGTTCTTTTGCAGTTGATGTTATTTTGAGGAAAAGTCTTGTCAGTTGTGTGTCTGTGTATAGCATTCTGTGTTCCTCAATCACATTTTTTATTTAATATTTATTTATTTATGTTATTTGAGACAGAGTCTCACTCTGTCATCCAGGCTGGAGTGCAGTGGCACGATCTCAGCTCACTGTAGCCTCTACCTCCCAGGTTCCAGTGATTCTTCCACCTCAGCCTCCCAAGTAGCTGGGATTACAGGCGCATGCCACCACACCCAGCTAATTTTTTGTATTTTTGGTAGAGACGGGGATTCACCATGTTGGCCAGACTGGTCTCAAACTCCTGACCTCAAGTGATCTGCCCTCGGCCTCCCAAAGTGCTGGGATTACAGGCATGAGCCACTGCGCCTGGCCTATTTATTTTTTTGAGAGAAAGTATCACTCTGTTGTCCAGGCTGGAGTATAGTGGTGCCATTATGGCTCACTGCAGCCTTAACCTCCCAATCTCAGGCAGTCCTCCCACCTCAGTCTCCCAAGTAGCTGAGACTATAGGCATGTACCACCACTCCCAGCTAATATATTTTTTATTGGTTTTATAGAGATGGAGTCTCACTGTGTTACCTAGGCTGGTCTGGAACTCCTGGGCTCAAATGATCCTCCCACCTTGGCCTTCCAAAGTGCTAAGATTACAGACTTGAGTCACCGTGCCCAGCCAGTGATATATTGTTAGTTATCCTTGCAGTATAAAATTTCTCACACCTTTGGCTTCTTGAGGCAGATGAATATTTTTATATGAAAGATTGAAAATGTGATAAGAGCAAAGACTTATTCTTTTCACAAAGAAGACACTTGTTTTTAATTCTTTCTTTTAAATAGTAGAAGTAAAAACAAAGCTAATATGTTATATTTGAACAGGTGTTGTGTGTGTGAGTTTGAGAGAGATCCATAAGCAAAGGGAGCCAGAAGCTAAGTACTACTATGCTATGTCTACATAGTGATATTTTTATCGATCCTTGTTATGTTTGATTTTTGATTCAGTACACTTTTTTCTTTAGAGAGGTTTTAGGTTCATAGCAAAATTGAGAAGAAGATACAGATATTTCCCATATACTTCCTGACCCCACACCTATGTAGTCTCCCCCTATTATCTCCCACCAGAGTGGTATATTTGTTACAGTCATTACCTTCATTTAACACATCATTTCACCTAAAGACCATAGTTCACATTAATGTGTTTAAGGGTGTGGAACATTTTAAGAGTTTTGACAAATGTATAATATCATGTATCTACCATTATGTATCATATAGAGTAGTTTCACTGCCCTAAAAATCTTCTGTGTTTCACCTTTTTATCCCTTCCCCTGAGCCCCTGGAAATCACTGATCTTTTTACTGTTTTCATAGTTTTGTCTTTTGCAGACTGTCATATATTTGAAGTCATACAGTATATAACCTTTTTATATTGGTTTCTTTCACTTACTAGTATACATTTAAGTTTCTTTCATGTCTTTTCATGGCTTGATAGCTCATTTCTTTTTAGCATTGGATAATATTACATTGTTGGGATGTATCACAGTTTATTTACTCATTGACAAACTGAAAGGCATCTTGGTTGCTTTCGAATTTTGGCAATTACGAATAAAGGTGCCATAAACATCTGTGTGCAGGTTTTTGTGTAGCCGTAAGTTTTCAGCTCCTTTGGGTAAATACCAAGGAGTGTAATTGCTGGATCATATGGTAAGAGTATGCTTAGTTATATAAGAAACTGACAAGCTGTGTTCTAAAGTGGCTGTACCATTTTGCATTCCATCAGCAGTGAATGGGATTTCCTGTTGCACCACATCCTCATCAGCATTTGGTATTGTCAGTGTTCTGGATTTTGGCAGTTCTAATAGGTTTGTTGTGGTATCTTATTATTTAAATTTGCATTTCCCTGATGACATATACATTTCCTCATTGAGCATCTTTTCATATGCTTATCTGCCATCTGTATATCTTCTTTGGTGAGGTGTCTGTTAAGATCCTTGGCTCATTTTTTAATCCAATTGTTTGTTTTCGTATTGTTGGGTTTTAAGAGTTCTTTGTATATTTTGGAAAGCAGTTCCTTATCAGATGTATATTTTACAAATATTTTCTCCCAGTCTGTGGCTTGTCTTTTCATTCTCTTTACATCTTTAACCAAACAGAAGTCTTTAATTTTAATGAAGTTCAGCTCATCATTTCATTCTTTCATGGATCATGCCTTTGGTGTCATATTTAAAGTGTTGTCGTAAAACCAAAGTCATCTAGATTTTTTTTCCTGTGTTACTTTCTAGGAGTTTTATAGTTTTGGATTTTACATCTATGTTTGTGATTCTCTCTGTGAAAGGTGTAAGGTTTTTCTCTAGTTTCTTTTTTTGTTTTGTTTTGTATGTGAGTGTCCAGTTGTTGCAGCACCATTCATTGAAAAGACTGACTTTTCTCCACTGTTGCCCATTTGTTGAACATAATTGATTATGTGGATTTATTTCTGGGCTCTCTATTCTGTTCCATTGATCTATTTTATTTTATTCTTTGCCACTACCACGCTGTCTTGGTTACTATAGCTTTATAGTATGTTTCAAAGTTGAATAGCATCAGCCATTCAACTTTGTTCTTCTACTTCAATATTGTGTTGGCTATAGTAGGTCTTTTGCCTTTCAATATAGACTTTAGAATCATTTTGTCAATATCCATAAAACAACTTGCCGGGATTTTGACTTGTATCGCATTGAATTTATAGATCAAGTTGAGAAGAACTAGTATCTTGACAGTGTTGTGTCTTCTTATCCATGAACATGAAATATCTCTTATTTAGTTCTTTGATTTCTTTCATCAGAGTTTTGCTCATATAGATCTTGTACATATTTGTTAGATTTATACTTAAGTATTTCATTTTGGGAGTATTAAGGTAAATGATACTGTGCTATATTTTTAATTTCACATCATACTTGTTTGTTGTTGGTATATGACAAAGCAGTTGACTTTTGTATGTTAACTTTGTATCCTGCAACTTTGCTGTAGTCACTTATTAGTTCCAGGGATTTTTTTTTTTTTTTTTTGTCAGTTCTTTCAGATTGTCTACATAGGCAGTCATGTCACCCGCCTAAAACAGACATTTTTTTTTTTTATTCCCAATTCTACCTTTTATTCCTCTTTCTTGTCTTATTGCATTAGCTAGGACTTCCAGTATGATGTTGAAAAGAGTGATAAGAGAGGACATCATTGCCTTATTCCTGATCTTAGTGGGAAAACTTCTAGTTTCTCACCATTAAATGTGATATTTGACATGGGGTTTTTTTGTAGATTTTTTTTTTGTTTATCAGGTTGGGAAAGTTGTCTATTCCTAGTTTACTGAGAGTTTTTATCATGATTGAGTGTTGAATTTTGTCAAATACTTTGCCTCTATCAATCTGATCATATGAGTTTTCTTCTTTAGCCTACCGATGTGATGGATTATATTAATTAATTTTCTTTTTTTTTTTCCTTTTTTTTTTTTTTTTTTTTAGATGGAGTCTTGCTCTGTTGTCCAGGCTGGAATGCAGTGGCACGATTTCGGCTCACTGCAACCTCCACCTCCCAGGTTCAAGCATTCTCCTGCCTCGGCCTCCTGGGTAGCTGGGACTACAGGCACATGCCACCACGCCTGGGTAACTTTTTAGTAGAGACAGGGTTTCACTGTGTTGGGCAGGCTGGTCTTGAACTCCTGACCTCAAATCATCTACCCACCTCAGCCTCCCAAAATGCTGGGATTACAGGCGTGAGCCACCACGCCTGACTTATATTAATTAATTTTCAAATGTTGAATCAGCCTTGCATACTTCAGATAAATCTCACTTGGGGCCAGGTGTGGTGGCTCACACCTGTAGTCCCAGCACTTTGGGAGGCCAAGGCAGGTGGATCACGAGGTCAGGAGATCGAGACCATCCTGGCTAATATGGTGAAATCCCGTCTCTACTAAAAATACAAAAAAATTAGCTGGGTGTGGTGGTGGGCACCT